CTGCCGATCGGGGTTTCGTTAGCCGATTTAAAAAGCCACCTAACATGCAACGAACGTGCACTGCAAAAAACGAACTAAAATGATCAGAAAATGGTGGTCTTACAATCAACAAACAAGCTCAAAATCACCTAATCCTCCATCATTCAAAAAATGAATCTTTGGGGGCAACAAAATATACAGATTGATTAACATAACTTCATCTAAAGAATGCTTCTTGATTTTTATTTGTACAACGTAAAATATAGAACGCACTTTTTTCGTGCCCTTCAGTGCACTGCATTATTTACATTCGAGTCTAGGATTATAAAACGGCAAGGCCCGCAGCCAATTTACTCGACTAAAGGGCCAAAAGACCGAACTAGAGCGAGAGGGCCGGAGTCGGGAGCTCCGACGCATGCAAAAATCAAGCTAATAGACGCTTGACGTTTTGACGTCTACTGCACCGCCCGTCAGCCCTATCATTAGGCAGCGGGGATCGGGGAACGGAGGGGCTGCGGCCCGCGGAGGAGGGACTTCGGGGGAGTATGGAGTATGGAGTATGACAACATGCAATATGGTGATTTCTGATTTGCATGTCGGCCCCAACCGAACTGACTTGGCGCTGCTGCAACAAACGAAGCCGTCAGCTGCGGAGCAACGATGTTGCGAGCCAGGTAATTGCCACACGGCAAATTGTAACTCATAGTTAGCCGTAGTAATATGCTAAATTAATTGGACGATATGAAGTGCGTGATATTGACTGCTAATTAAGCAAGTTATTGCCAAGTTAGTGGCGCTTAGGCACGAGCTTGGTTTAAGATGCACTGATGCGAATGGCGTTGCATTAACCAAATATACTTTATGTTCATGCACCGCCTTCGTCTAGTTCATCTATTATTTTATAATTGCGCTGCGCAAGTAAGTGCACTTCTAACACGTGCATCGACCAGTTTTTTAAGGTACTTGGACAGCTGCCAGCTCGGGCACACCCACGGACATTAGGTGAGCAAATAGGCGGCTTCCATTCATTGATCACTCCAGCCGAGAAGAGCGAGGCCCAGCAGGTAACTCGGTAGCCCGGCCTTCTGGGAAGGCCTCGAAGGACCCCTGGTCGGTACAAATTGCATATAATTATGCAACGCCACAGTCTTGGGAGTTCACACCTACCAGCCACCGATCCGGATCGAGGATGCGTGCTCTCCCCGCATCAGCATATCCTGTTGGCCGTGTCCAATTCCAGGTCTAGCGCCGAAGGACTTTCCTTTCTGGGCCCATTAAAGCTGTCGGCCGATTTAATGCCCTGGACGCCATTAGAGTCGATAGCCATCAAGCGATGGCGATCCCATCCCCATGCCCAACCCGTTCCCATCCCGATCCGACCCGATCCGATCGCATGGCAGTCAGCACTTAGAAGAGCTGCCCGATTAACCCATGACAACAGGTGCGGCACGTATGTATGCAAAAGGATTGGTTGGGCTGGGGTTAATCGATTCGAGCATCGACTGGGCAGCGGCGCCTGCAGCTGCGCCGTAATCTGATGAAGGGTTGATGGGTTCCTGGCCGAGATGGAGACGGCTATTGCCTTTATAATGAAATTGTGTTGACCAATTTGTTATTTCATTCCGTTGGCTCACAACGGCGCATCTTTTTGTTCAGTCCTGTGAAAGTGTGAAGTGTTCGTGGCTTGGCATGGGCGTGTCCTGATGATTTCGCACTGCGGTGTATCTGATCCTGCAGGTGCTGCTCACATAAGCTCGACTTACTGCCCGCAGACACGAGCTAACCAAAAGTTTGGCTGCAATTTTTGGCAATTTCAGCTAATGAAAATTCCCAATCTTTGCACAGGGAAAATTATTACTTGCAACCTCGATTTAACCAATTATGGCAAGCCGTTGCTAAACATAGTATTACTTTAGTCAAAAGCTTTCAATGCGAAAAGTATTCCCAAATCAATTGCTGTTAAAAAACATTATAAGTCCGTCGAAAGTCAGATTTATCTAATTGTTGCAATGCTCAAAATAATAAAACTTTATTAATAACGGTAAAATTGCAATAGAATTCTTCAAAGGATTGTAGTTTTAGAACACAAATTAAAAGGATTTAGCAAATATAGCAGGATTAAAGTCATCAAAAAAAAGCGTTTGGAAATAATAACAATATTAAAAATATTAATATAAATATTCCATAAAAGTATGTAATAAAATATAGAGATGTGAAATTTGGCTTAGCTTACCAAAAATTGTTCAGTTCGAACTATATTAAAAATACTATTAGAAGTAATCAATATCTGCTTTCCTATTAACGGGTACCTAATAATCGCGACACTAGACTACAGCGTTCTCCCTTTTAAGTTATACACCTCTGTACCTTTGTTTGCATAAAATACTTTATAATGATATATTTTTTCAGTGTAGCCCAAGTTATCCTCGCACATAGAATAACTTCGGGTGGTGGCTAATAAACGAAATGTTTTATTGCCCGGCAACAACCGGGGAAACAAATATGGCAGCCCAGATAATTGCCAGCCATTTTGAGCTGCATTTGGCTTAGTTTGTCTTTCCATTTGTTTGTTTGTCCGTCTGTTGGCGACACGCGCCGCTGAATTCTGAGTGCTGGGAGCTTGCAACCGGCGAAATGCCGCTGAAGCCCCATAATCGACGCAACTGCAACTCGATGGCACTGCAACTGCGGTAGACAATCGCTGAAACGTTGATTACCAACTGGCGCAGCTGTCGCCAGCCCATTGTAACTGGCACCGCAAATCCAGGCCCACTTCCGCCCGAGGTCCCAGCACTTAGTTTTAATAAGTGCTAATGAGTTGCTCAAGCCAGAGAGATACTGCGCATTGCGAGCTGGAGATGCATCCTTCAAGAGGCTTAGAATGATTCCTACATACATACATATGCCAGCACAGCAACCTTGGAAAATTAATCAAAATACTTGTGCTCGTAAATGAGTAAACTACATATTTGTAATTTAATAAGAAGTAAGTCTGCCTACATTCTTGCAACATTTTCTTGTTAGGCCATATTATAGTCATCTGAAGGGTTATTCATAAAAGGCTTTCTTAACACCTTTTTTTGAGTGACTGTTCGAGCCGGAGTGAAGACCCTTCGGATCACTCCAACCCCGCTTAAAAGCACTTTGCATAAATGGGTCTGGGCCCTTTCTGGCCTGGTTTTCCGTGGTGGCTGCTTCCGCTTGGGCAACTTTGTATGGAGAGTGCTCGTTATGATGGTAACCGCAAATACTCGTAACTTGGCGACTTGGCGTCGTCGGAGATAAGTCGATGAGTCGAGAAGGGTATGGCAACCGCAGCGCATCGCATCGCATCGGAGCACTTCGCATAAGTCATGACATTTATGTCGGCCATGTCGGGCAGGGCATCGCTATAACCTGTGACTCATCACATGTGCCTATAGGACACTCGAATCTACGCTCAGATATCTGGTCATTAGGCTCATTAAAGCGGCAGCCAATTAATAAACAAAAATAAATAATTGCACAATTCATTTGGTAATTAGACATGGCTCATAAAGCCGAATTAGGCAAAAGGCATGGCCCACAGATACCCACAGATATCCCACAGATATAGCACGCACACCAAGATACATTCATATGTATATTGTCTATATGGGGAGGGAGCCCCGAAGAGAGGGAGAACTTCATGCAAATGAAATGAAATTGACTAGAGAGCCAGCAAATTGAGTGTGTCCCGTGTTCCCGTGTACCCATGTATTTCTGTCCCAGCTCACGGTGGCTGGCGAATGGGGTGCCCCGCCCCCAGCAACAGCCCCCAGGCCCCTGCCCCGCGCTACAAACAAACACACGAATTTACGTACATAAGTGAACAATTCATTTGTCACACTAAATTTGTTTCAATTCATTTGCTCGGAATGACAAATAATGCGATGTAATTACATTTCGGAGCGCTCTCCGGTGCTCGTGCTTTTCCGCGGGAGTGGGCTATGACATCCACCACCCGGACTCAGATTCCCCCGCTCACGGTCAATGCTCATAACGTGGAGATTTTGAAATGAGATTGCGACTATTTACGTATGTTTTTCCGTCAAACTTGGCCAAGTGTATGTGCTTGCTAATTATCATTTTCCCTCATCAGCAGGATTTGTGGAATGACTTCAGCTTAAAGGGTAAGTTCAGTACAGGAAGTATATTATTCCAATTATTTATTATTCGGTTTGTACATTAAGTTTACCAAAGTGCTATAGTTTTAGTACCATTTCTTCGATCGTTAACAATCTTTTAATAATCCATTCTAAGATTGGATGATATATGTACCTACGTCTTTAATGCTTTTCTTGTAATGCCAAGCCTTTTTATTGGGGAAATAAAAACTTGTACGAGCATTCGTTGGAAGCGCCTAATTTAAGACAATCAGAACATCTACGACAGAAATATCGCGAAAAGTACTCAAGCAATCTGTAAGCACGCGGTGTATTCGCCCAATTACGAACTGGCGACATTAAATGGGGCTTGACATTTCCGGGCAAATTGTGAGGTCTGCGTTTTCGTAAGGATTTCGTCATTTTACTTTTCACCAATATAAATTATCCACGCAAAGGGTGTTGACACTGCTTATTTAAAACGCTAAAAGAGCTCTTTTAATTTAAATCCACTATTGTCATTTGTTCACGCAGCAACTTAGTTGTTTAGTTTACTCAAAAAAATACTTCTTCACAGTTTGAAACTGGCGCATTTTTTTATTTGAATAGGTGTTATAATAATTAGGTGGCGCCATCTGGATAAGTGCTGCCACTTTATTATCTGCAGTCATTTTAGAGCACTGTTTAATGGCTCGGGGAAACCGCGCGCTGAAAAGCCGCTTTAAGTTTGCTTAGATAGCTAACAAAAATGTTATGCGAATCAAACACTAAACTGCTTATTTAGTTTTGTATTGTAATAAATTGTATTACCATAGCTGCACTGGAATTTACAGAAAAAATAAGTTTTCGTGTCACGAATTGTATGATCGATAGCGCGCGTCTCAGCGCAACGCCACATTAAACGATTAGCTCATCACTAACGGAATGTTATGTTGTAAACACAATGTAAACACTTTCAAAACAAAATGTAGATCGTCTTCGACCAGTTCAAAAGATTGTTGCTATCATGGATGTGAATTGGATCGACGACGACGACGACCTGGTGGCGGCCTTGGCGATGCACGAAGAGCAGAAGACCGAGGTATTTACTTGAATTTTCCTGCAAACAAGGAGTCTCTCAAAGTTTGGATCCTCAGGAAGCGGATGGAACAGAGGGGCACCCACAGCCGGAACTTTCCGACGAAGCATGTGAGGGCTTCGATATGGCCGCTGGACACAACTGGATATATCCAAACAACCTGCCCCTGCGATCCTATCAACAAACCATCGTCCAGTCGGCGCTGTTTAAAAACACCCTGGTGGTGCTTCCCACGGGATTGGGAAAGACCTTCATTGCGGCTGTGCTGATGTACAACTTCTACAGGTGGTATCCAAAGGGAAAGATCGTGTTCATGGCACCCACAAGGCCATTGGTCTCGCAGCAGATCCACGCATCCCAGAAGATTATGCCTTTCCCATCCGCAGATACGGTGCAACTGACAGGTCAGTTCAAATAAGGAGGCTCATTTACAACTGCTTGCCGGGTCATATGACATAGCAAGTAAAATGTGGCGACGGCCTTAACAAACTATGAACCCAAAACAATAAGTTCTATTTTTGTTCCAGGCCAACTTCCTCGACCCAAAAGAGCTGAGCTGTGGGACTCTAAACGGGTCTTCTTTGCCACGCCGCAGGTGGTGCACTCAGACATGTTGACAGCTGATGGCGGATCCAACTTTCCCTTTGGGTCCATCAAGTTGATAGTGGTGGATGAGGCGCACCGGGCCAAAGGTCGCTATGCCTACACCCAAGTGACCGACTGCCTGATGGCGCGTAACAGGAACTTCCGAATACTGGCTCTGTCCGCTACACCGGGAAGAACTATGGAAGATGTGGCAGCTGTGTGCCAAAATCTATACATATCCAATCTGCAAGTGCGCTGGGACACTTCGATCGACGTGCAGCCCTACATACACAGGAGGACTATTCGAACCATAGTGGTCTCCTTGAAGGAGAGAATCAAGGAGCCGAGAGAACGATTGCTGCAGATCATCGAACCATACCTACGTCAGCTTATAGAATATGACATTTTTAAGGGCAACAAGGGGAACGTGAGCAAAAACAGTTTGCTCTTTGAGCAGAAAAGCTTTATCGAACGATCGGCGCAAGGCCAGCGGCATCCGGATCACAATATAATAACGGGCAACTTTGCCATGTGCATCAGCATGTACCACTCGCTGGAACTAATGGAGCGGCACGGTCTGCGCGTTTTCGTCAACAATTTTGATGCAGCCGAGAATGGACGAGAGAAATTTGTACTGGCCAGAGATGGAGATCTAAGGAATTTAGTGGAGCAGGTGCGCCAAGAACTCGGCGCCAACCCCCTAGATTACACCACTCATGCCATGACGAATGGAGAAGTGCCGCCTGTGCCATCTGATCTAGACTTTGGACATGCCAAATACGAAAAGTTGCGCCAGGTTTTGGTCCAACACTTTCAGGTAGGGGCAATAATGATCGATAAGATATAGGAAACGGAAAAAATATCTGCATGTTGCGAAGCCTATGAAGCCTATAAACATATTCCTTTTCTAATGCAATTATTTTCCGTAACAGGCAAACGCCGATTCCCGCGCCATTGTGTTCTGCGAGTACCGTGAGTCCGTGATGCTGATTCACCGTCTACTCCTTCAACACAGGCCGCTGCTCAGACCGCGCTGCTTTGTTGGCCAGGGCAGCACAGTTGGAGCAAGCTACGCTCTCACCCAGAAACAGCAGCTGCAGATAATGGCCGACTTTCGATCCGGCACTAGCAACGTTCTGGTGGCCACGTCGATCGGAGAGGAGGGGATAGACGTGGGCGAGGTGGAGATGATTGTGTGCTTCGACATTTGTAGCTCTAATCCCACTAGATTCGTTCAGCGGATTGGGCGGACTGGAAGGAAGAAGAATGGAGAGGTGGTTATGCTAGTGACCGAGGGACGAGAACAGCAGGTGCTTAAGGATGTTCTGGCCAACAAGGATCAGATTAACAAGAAGCTATTGAATTCATCTGTTGTCAAACTGTCGCTTTATGAACAAAATCCTCGAATGGTGCCATCACAATTTCAACCGAAATGCGAAGAGAAGCACATGGAGCCAGTCGTTGAGGAGAACCCCAAGCCAAAGTCATTAGCCAAGATTAAAGAAGTCCGGAAGCGGAAGCAACCAATTGCAAAGTCTGGTAGCCTACACAAATATATAAAAGCAAGCGCTCCAACGGAAAGTCAACACGGAATATTGCAGGGAATAAAGCCGTACCAAATAAGCGAAGCGTCCCAGCAGTTGGTTATGCAGCAAGTCCTACGGCGCAGCGTAAATCTGAAGAATTTCTTTGGGGAGTCTCAAGCCAGCTCGACATTAACCAGCAGTCAGGAAGATGTGCAACGCCTCCGAAAACTCACTCGCCTTCTGCAGTCCAACAAACCATTGGTTTCGGACTCCCAGGATCTTATAAGTCATCTGCAGGACGATCACTTACCCAGGCAAATAAAGCTCTACTTACTAAAAAATAATCCCGAATTCGTGAGGGAAACACATTCAAAGATGCAAGTCCAGAGCGAGTTGAATATAGCTGATGATCGCCTAAATAGTCGACAAAGACGTACTAGAAATAATTATCAACTGCTCCTGGACATTTGCGACGGAATGGACCAAATGACGGAGCTTCTCCAAGAGGATGATAGTGGAGCTGAGATTAGCTTCAGATATGAAAAGAATCCTATTTATAGTCCGAAAAAGTTCGATACGATTTGTGAAAAGATTTTCGAAGGTCTGAATGAGCAAGGCCTGAACTCGGACAATTTTGAACTGAAGCAAGATCTTTTGGAAAAACTTGAGGTTCGAAATCTGGATGCCACAGTAAACGAGCAACTGGGTGGCGTTGAAGCTTCCTGGTCAGAAGAGGAGTGGCAGCAGCAGGATGCAGACGTGAAATGCGAGTCCATGTACCTAAGCCAGCAATTGAACTTATCAGCCGCGGATGTTGCCCCCCATAGCTCCACGCCGCTGAGGGTTAAACCCTTGAGCAGATTAAAGTTTGAAACACTGCAGGGCGAGTTTGAAGAGGAGTATCATTCCGGGATGGAAGCCAGCGAATTAGGGGACAACTTGGGTCGCTTAAATTCCCTGATGAGCGCTAGTGAATCGATTTTAAAGATTAAAGCGACTGAAAGATCTACACTCATTCCTATCGAAGAGTCTACAATTGAGGCAAGTCACTTTCCTGCCGAAGAAGAAAGTCAAAGATCAACTCCCATTCCCATTGCAGAATCTTCAGGTGAATCGAACCACTGTCCTGTTCATGAAAGTAGTGAAATATATCCAATGAGCATAGAAGAGACGAAAGTAGAAGTTAAGTGCTCTTCAAATCTGAAAATGCAGGCGGAATCCGTTGTTGATGATTTGGATATCGACTTGGATGCTTTTCTAGAGCCAATGGACAAGGAACTGGAATTAACCTCCCAGACAAAGAGGAAGACACAAGAAAACTTTGAAGATCACCAGGCGGAGAAATTAGAGAACAACAGCCAGCAGAAAGAAACAACATACAATGATGCACTGGATCTAACGGCCGAAGACTTGAAAGAATTTCTAGAGCCGATGGCAGAGGAAGTGGAGTTGATAAGTCAACAAAAGAAGGATAGCTTCAAAGATTTTCTAGAGCCAATGGCAGAGGAGTTAGAGCTAATAGGCCAGCAGAAGAAAAATATACTGCTTCCAAGTGCAGAAACGAATAAAAACTCATGTACCGCGATCTCACCTGAGAACGGCTCACGAACCGTTTCGCCAGATATCTTTGGGTCTGAATCCATGTCACCTTTGAAGCCACAAGGAAGAAGTCTGGCCGCCAAATTGGCAGCCAAGACTGCAGCAAAGGCTTTGCCTGGCCCACCCCCGAATTCAATAGGTCTTAATTCGCCGGAGAACCGAAAACGCACAAATTCCTTGATCCAGGATAAGTCCCCAAGCATCTTTGATCTATATTTAAATCGAATGCGGGGACGTGGTCGTCTGGCTAAAGCTGCGGAAAATCTGCACCGTATAACTTCAACAAATACTTCAGTCTCACTGGCTAAAGACGAAGAGGATTCCCCTATTGCGCGACGTCCATCCAAACGCAAGATTGTTATAAGTTCCGATGAGGAAGAGGAACCAAAGCCACAGGTTGCGGAAACCCAAGGGGATTGCGATTCCGATGAATACGAGCAAATTCCCAACACGCAAATGGTATTTTTCTACCTGCAGTTTATAAATTTATCATACATCTAATATATATTTTCCAGTCTGATCCGCCTACGACTCCAACGAGACCTCGACACAAACGTAGTAAATTCAATTCTTTTATTTTGGATGAGGCTGATAAAAGCGGATCAGACCACGATGAAGAAGGGGAAACTACCATTGGCACATATCTGAAGGACTCTATGATCGCTTCAAGCGATGATGAGGACCATAACGATACAAACACTCATGCTATTTACCTTCGTGCAATTAAGTAAGTCGACGGTGAATTCTAAAAGCGTTCCATTACATCACATCTTATTTTTAGGAGCCCCATTCAAAGGCCAGGTGCCTTCAAGATGCCCCCTCCACGAGTTTTTCGCGACGAGTCCCATATATTTTCTCAGCCAGTGGAAGACGATTCCTCGCAGTACATGCAATGCTCTTTCATCGTTGATGATGAAAGCTCCACGATTGAACAAGGGCATGATGTCTCCGAATGCCCTCTTGAGAAAGCCGAACGCATTCTAAAGGAGCGACGAAAGCAGCGTCGACTTGGAAAAGTGCCTCCTGCAGCGACTAATAAACGACGACGATTGCAAACCATCAGCACTTCAAGCGACGAAGATGATGTGGTTTTAGTTGATTAGGAGCGTCACCTCTTTCCAGTGCCATTGCATTAAATTATTTGTGATTCGTTAAGATAATTCCTATTTTATTTCGTTTGATGGAAATGTTACTTTAATCTTGTAAATTTATGTCAATACGTGATACAGATCTTTAGAAGTCCAATTGATTGTTGTTACTTAGAGTTTTAACGTAAGGAAGGGCACTAATCTAACTAGGTTAATTTTTTTACGTAAAATAAATAACAAAATAACTGAAAATTTGTATGGTAAAGAGCGTTTTTTTTTTTTTTTTGTATCATCATTGTTCTACTTCTCTGTTTGAGAAGCGTTGATAGATAAAATCTTACGCAGTTCTGCAAACAATTTAGGGTATTAGGGGTCGTTGCAATAGTTCAAGAATTTAAATGATCTATGGGTCGGGGAACCCTTTCTTCTACCTATCATGGTATTTGCTTTTTCTTTGGGAAAACTATAACCGTTTTACAGGCAAGTTAATTTACACAGAAATCCCTAAACCTTTGATGACCTCAATAGTTACACCAAAGACACTAGAATAATAAGATGCGTAACGCCATACGATTTCTTTGCACTCGATTTACTTACATACTTACATACATACATACATACATACATACATACATACATACATACATACATACATACATAAATACATACATACATACATACATACATACATACATACATACATACATACATACATACATACATACATACATACATACATACATACATACATACATACATACATACATACATACATACATACATACATACATACATACATACATACATACATACATACATACATACATACATACATACATACATACATACATACATGCATGCATACATACATACATGTATACATACTTACATACATACACCGGTACATACACTACACATGCACTACACTCGCTGCTCGACCGGTAAGGGAGATTACTTGCACTATTTTGCGACTCTAAATTAGAAGACATGCCTTACAGTCCTCACTAGAACTAGTTGGGAATTATAGGGCAACAAGAAAATATTTTTCCTCAGCAAATATTCAAAGCGGCAATAACTATGTGTTCCGACAGTAAGTTAAACATTCTTCAGGCTTTAATTAAGACAATTTTTACTACTTTGTGCAAGTAACACATACATTACATACATACATACATACATACATACATATATACATACATCCATACATACATACATATATACATACATACATACATACATACATACATACATACATAAACATGGAAATATTTTATGTTTAACATTTATTATTTCAAGTCGACTCGAAGGTCATATAAATATAAGACCACATTACAATTGTAATGTCCTCCCCGTGGTGTTCCCTGGGTACCAAAAAATACATATATTACAGATAATTAATAATAAAAATATTTATATGTAAACGGTAGCTAATTAGAGCGGCGATTTTAACTAAAGAATATTAAAACAACTTCTTAAAAAAAAATAATAGTCACGGCATCAATTTTTAAATAATATTTAGCTCATATTACAACGAAATTGACTAAAACATTAATCAAATTCGTTTCTTAGATCAAAATTGATTTCGGACTGAAAATCGTCTTCTGGCACAACTTTTTTTTTTACTGTTTTCAACCACACAAGCAACTGAATTCTATTTTTAGATTTTTATGCTCTCAATTTAGAGAAAGAAATAAGAAAGATATATAAATAGATATTTGTTATATTTCCAAAACAACCCGAAATCAGATGTCATAAAAGCTTTTGAAAATGAGCGCCTAAAAGGTGAATCGATTTTGGTGCACTAGTTTTGCATATCGATATGTCTCCAAAAGTGTTTTCCAACACTTTTTAGAACACAAAATTCTGGTAACACTGATTCCGCCCGCTACGAAATTATTCCTTTTCTAGTGTTGCCAGACTATATTTTTATATTACTGTACAAGTGTGTCTCTAGATGGCGTTGCACTTGGGATGTCATTTTATCATGAAAAATACATCGCCATCTTGTGGGTAAAGTGGGGACGAACAACACGCCAGATGGCGTGAAGAAATATAGTAATAACATCAAAAAACAACATTAATTCAACGTTCTGAAACAGACTTATACAGATTACTCAGTATCATCTTTCTAGCCTTTATAATATGCGAGATTACAGGTTCATACAGACGGACATGGCTGTAACACCTCGGCTAGTGATCCTGATCAAGAATATATCTAATCTGTTACCTGTTACCTAATCTTACCTGTTAATACTTTTCAACGAATCTTTTACACTACAAGTAGGTTACGGTATAATTCAAATGGGTATGTGCTAAACCATAAACAAAATTTTTGCTGCCCAACACCATCGCCACTATACGGCTAGAGTCTGCAGACAGCATTTCTAAACATTTCGGCTTTAGCCCTAGTAAAAAGTATACTGCCACTCTCAAGTTCTAATTATATGTCTTACTGATTATGACGACTGTCATAAAGGGTTTATTTACCAACATACCAACTTTCTCGAAAATTAAGTTTGACTGTATTTTAATGTTCCCGGACTGTCCTGCTCATCGGCATTTAAAACCTATTTTATGTAGTATGTCTACCAAAATTTTTGCGTTGCAGCATGCGGCATAATCAATAATTTTTAATTTAACAACAATCGCACAATCGTTTCAACGTAATAACCATTATTATGTTTTCAACAACAACGTGGTCCACAGCAACAACAGACACAGAAACGGCAAGCAGCTACAACAAAAAGTCAATTCAATTTTAATGGAGTAGCAATAAAACAGAAAAAGCGCAAAAAATTGATATAGCCATGCGGCATGGCCGTAAGCCGTGAGCCGTGAGCCAAACTCAGCCAGCCAGGCGGGCAATGGCAATACCATTTTGCAATTGCAATAAAATAATTTAAAATCGTTTTCATCAACATCAGCTCAAAGAGTTTTTGTTGCCGCTCGAAATGCAAAAATGATTTTGCGGCAATCAGCAATTCCCTGGCCCGACGATGATGACGTTGACTTGTTGATGATCCAAACGATGGATGGCTGTTTGAAATTGATTCGCTGTGAATGCGATGGCCAGTCCAAGACATGGCCACTTCATAGCCATCATGGCCGCGTCCAAGCCAATTGCAGGTTGTAACCCGGTCCTGGAGTCTTTACGGCCCCGGCGATTTTCTTAATACGAAACGTGCCTGCCTGATGCGCCGAGTCCAATTTTGTAGTTCGTTCTTTTGTAGGGTATGCTAAATCGCGCTCGAGTTTCGAATGCGTTCTCAGAGTTTCACTTTGGGCCTGGGCTCCATAAACGGTCGGCCCAAAGGGGCTGGGCCCATCGTTTTACTCGATTTGCGGTTAAATTGTCTTGCGAAACAAAGCCAATTTCAATTTCAAACAAAACGTTTTGTGGGAATTACGCAAAGGTGTACGTCGGACGTGCTGCTAAACTATCTCTTTCTCTCCGGAGAACTGCAATAAGTGGTCAGCAATCGCAGCCGATCTCATCGGAAGTGTTTTCGCTGATTGGCATTGGCATTGGCATTGCCTCAAAAGGTCCAAGTCGCTTCACGGAAATGATCGCTGGAAACGATTTATAATGAAGAGCAGACGAAGCACTAGCACTCAGAAAAAGCACAGAACCTACACATTGATAGCGTCAAGTAATAACAGGTTAAATGATGGACTAAAATTCGAAGAAATTCTCAGATCCTCGCACAGTACTTGCACTACTTTTAATGATTTCTGTAATTTGTTTTTCATTTCCAGGTACTACCCCACAGCGTGCATCTGTAATCCCAGAGCTCAAGAACCGCTCTACAAAATAACAATAATGTTTTTCTGTGCAGGCCATAAGGTTGCTGTGGCTCAATTCCTTCCCAATGACAAATCGATTTCAAATTGCCCGCTGGCCATTTGGTGATTTGGTGAGACAATGGAAACGCCCACCATCGAGGCTTGCGGGTCTCCCTCCACGACCTCTATCATATCTCCTGACAAATTGATATTGTCTAAGCCATTTTCGATATGCATATTTATGTTCTCGATAGGTTTCTTTGTTTGACTCTCGACCGTGTGTGGCTGGCTTTATCGCTTTACAATTTTTCTCGGCTTTCATTCATGAGCTTGGTCGCCTAGTGGCTTGTCAGCACACATTACTTGGAGGCCGAGGGTCCGTGGTAATCGTGGCCAGAGCCGATCATCCAAGCGCATCATCCACATCCGGTACGCAGTTCTTTGTGTCTTCGCTGCCCAGTGATAACTTTTCTGGTGAGTCGTTGACTGCTCTTGTCATATTATCGTGTTGGCTTGTCAAAAGCGCCAGGCAATTATGGACTGGACTTTGTGTGGGCCACGACTGGATGCTCACATATTTACGAGGCTTTATGGCCGCTGTCTTTGATTAATGGGCGACAGGCGTGGAGACGCTGGCCAAATGAATACTAAATTCGCTGCCCGCCACATAAAGGCGACATCAATTAGCTCTCGGGCATAAATACATTAACACAAATCGCCGAGCATTTGGAGTGCCCATTTCCATTCCCGTTCCCGTTCCCGTTCCCATTCCCATTCCCGTCCAGAAACGATGAGTATACGCTCCGTGTGCCCGCTTATCGCCGCTTGTAAATGTCTCAACTATTTGTTAAATGCTAAAGCGACATGGTCATAATGGAAATGACAACTTAACAGCAACGACGCGGATGGGTATGGCAAAAATGTTAAGAGGCTCGGTCAAGTGGCCAGGTATCCAACTCCGTCTCCATCTCGGTCTCCATCGAGACCCGACCTCCTGCTCCTCCTGCAGCTGGAGCCTTGCCGTGATAACTGTATTGAGAGTGTCATTAACATTTTGATTTGGTTGGCTCGCAGTCCCAGCGCCACTTCAACTCTATTATGAGCCCCGACTGCATTTCGCTGGCTACTTATCGCCACACCAGACATGCACATCATTTGTTAAACAAATGCACAGAGCGGAAAAAGGATGCATTTTAATGTTTCGTTGTTTTTATAAAGGAAATGCAATTCAAGTGCATGCTTTCAAGAAATTTTTGAATTAATTAATCGTACGCATCATTATACTACATGTATATTATAGTGCGAGGTTACCATTTTTTCATTTAAAGGTAATAGTTTCAGAACTATAAGCTTATATTGAGTAATATCCAGCCTTTAAAAGGTTAAAAATCGTGTTTTATAACGTTACGTTTTGTCATTGAGCTCCTTCTGTGCAAAACC